CTGTCCTCCTCCTCCAGCTCCTCCTCTTCCCGTTCGAACTCGTTCACATCGAAGTCATTGCTTATACATCCTACTGGAGTTGAATGAAACTGCTCCTGCGTCAACTGACCATCCAAATTCATGTTACCCTGAGTTGCTTCCCCTTCGACCCCCAATTCTTGTTCATTGCCTCCAACACCATCATTGGATGGCCTGTCCTAGAGACCCTACATCCTGTACTCATTCTCCACCACCACCTTAGTCATGGGCACATTGGAACCTTGGAGCACCCTATTGTAGCGGGACCAGTGAGCAGGGTCACGCAAGGACATCAGGACATAGTGTGCCCTAGTCTTCCCACTATCAAACCTCCCCTTCACTATGAAATCACCACCAAACTTTGCATTCAAATGGACACAAAGGTCGTCGAAGCTAGGAGGTTCATCAAACCATTCCAATTCTTCTTCCATATCCTCCAACATACCATCTTCTTTCCTAACACTTCCTCCGTAAAAAACTCGGACACAACAATCCATCTACAAAAAGCATTTGAGGAAACTTCATCAAGTTGTTAAAATCGTTGTATCACGCACTACTAAGTACCAACACATGAAAATTAGTATCTATACTAACTACCATTACTACTACAAACTAACTAAACCATAACTACCTAAGCAATCCCTAAACCCAAAGTCCTAACTAACAATAGCCTAAACCCTAAACCCCTAATCCTAACTAACAAAAATCTAAACCCTAAATTACTAACCAAACCCTAAACCTAATATTCTAACTAACAAAAACCTAAAGGCTAACTACCTAACCATACCCTAAATCCTAACTACTTAACTATACCAAATCACTAACAATAATCAATTCATTCAAAATTTAATCACCAAAATGAGGGTATTGGAGGGGGGAATACCTTAGCAACAATGAGGAGAGCTCCTAGGGGTTAGCCCCGATGACGGAGAGGGCCGCCGGCGAGGACGGCCAAGAGGCTGGCCCCTAGTCTATCACCAGGGTAGGCGGCGTCAGGCGGCCAAGGGGCTGACCCCCGGCCTATCACCAGGGGAGGCATCGTGGGCGCAGGTAGGGAGGCGCGGCCGGCGGTGGACGAGCCAAGGGAGGGGGCGACGGTGGTGCGCGGCGGCGGGCATGGGCGACGGCGGCAGACACGGACAAACAGGGAGGGGCGCGGGCGGCCAAGGGGGTGCAGCATCGCCTGAGCAGGGGAATGGGGGGAGAGAGGGAGGGATGGAGGCGCGGTGGAGGGCCCAAGGCCGTGGGCGGGCGCAACGGGAACGTAGCGGCGCGGTCGGGCGAGTGGCGGCGGCGGATGAGACAGAGAAAGTAATGGAGAGAAAGGGAAGAAGGGAGGCCTTGTCGCGGGCCTGTGATGGGTCTTGCCGCGCCATGCGCCGTGGCACGTCTGTGCCGCACCTAGATCCACGGTGCGGCAGCCCCACCACGTCAGCGTTCAGCGGCCCTGGTCGCTGCCACGTCGCCACTCCTGCCGCGCCCCATGCTTGGCACGGCAACGTGATTTCGCCGCGCCATGTGAATGGGCGCAGCAAAAAATGTTAGTTTTTAAAAAATAAAATAAATAGTGTCATATTTGAAAATAGTTTTAAAAAAGTGTTAAAAAAATTCTCGGCGTGTCTCTAACATGGGTAGCATCCTGTGAACCGTGGGCTCATCACACGAGCAAGTGGGCAGCCTCTTGGAGGTTGGTACTAGTAGTGTGTAACTCTAGTAGCACGTACAATTTAACAAGTTACTCCATACACAAGCATATGCATTCACCAAGGATACGCTGTTCACTGGTACTACCATGGTACATTCTATAATATAATACTATAAAGCTACAATGAAATACATGGTACATTCTTCTCAGTTGTCACCTTGTGCCCTTCCATACGAAAATGCAAAAAATAAAAAACAAAATCCCTAGATGGAGAGTCCTGAAACTATGATGTTTCCGTGCTGATTCACACTCTTCGTTTGACAGGCAAGAGCCGCCTGTGACGGTCAGTGCAAGCTATTTTTGCATGTAAGGCTCACAGTTTCACACACACTGCACACGTTGACAGGCTGTGTGCTATAAGCATGCTAAAATGTTCCATAGGTAGGTCTTAGATGTTGATTAACACTGACCTAATTAGAAGATAAATGGAGGTGTTCCAGCGATGGCAGAGCACAACATGCTAGCTGTACATGTTTTTTTACAAGAACACCGGGGGCATGAGAGGCTCGTCTAAAAGATTTACCATTGATTCTGGCCCGACCCATCAAGAGTGACATTCTCACTTCCCGAGAAGTCAACAATTTACAAGTTTGACCTAAGAAGCAAAAGTTAAGAAAACTATCTGAAGACAGAATCTAGGCAGCAAAAGCTAAAATCCAAAGATTGCTAGATGCCAAAGTCATCAAAGAAGTGCAATTCACAACTTGGCTAGAAAACATAATCATGATAAAGAAGAATGGAAAATGACGCACGTGCATAGATTTCACTGATCTAAACGAGGCTTGTTCTTGTCCAAAAGACAACTTCCTCACTCCCTCAATTTTATAAGAACGTTTTCTCCTTTTTCGAAAAGTCAAATATTTTTAACTTTGAACAAATATATATATATATATAAGAAAATAATAATAATATTTATAGTATATAATTAGTATTATCGCTGAATATTTTTATAATAAATTTATTTAAAGATATAAATGTTGCTAATATGTTTTACAAATTTAGTTATTTTTTCTAAAAAATTTTGACCTGTACGAATACACTTTTTTGACAGAGGAAGTAGTGAATTGCCGTTTTGGTCCGTTTCCTTGGCGACGAATCTCAACTAAGCCATCAGATTTCCTTTCACCGATTTCATTGACAAGACGACATGCATGTCCCTTTGCTCATTGACAAGACGACATGCGTGTTCCTTTGCTCCAACTCCAAAGGTGTAACGTCAGTCATATTTTCACTTTGACTTATAGTTCCAAAAAAAACTTATTTTGACTATAGATAGGATTTGGGCCAGCCGAATCCTTTGCTCCAACTCCAAAGGTGTAACGTCACTCATATTTTCACTTTGACTTATAGTTCCAAAAAAAACTTATTTTGACTATAGATAGGATTTGGGCCAGCCGAATCCTTTGCTCCAACTCCAAAGGTGTAACGTCACTCATATTTTCACTTTGACTTATAGTTACAAAAAAAAACTTATTTTGACTATAGATAGGATTTGGGCCAGCCGAATCCTTTGCTCCAACTCCAAAGGTGTAACGTCACTCATATTTTCACTTTGACTTATAGTTAAAAAAAACTTATTGATTTGGGCCGCCGGCGGCTAGCTGATTTTCGGCTACTGCTGATGATGATGTTGATTTATTATGAGAGAGAAAATATTATTTTATGACTGAAAAGTAGTGATGATTTTTGGCTGATAAGCTCAAGCGAAAAGCACAAACAGTCTCTTGTGCTTCATGCAATTCTACCGTTTAGGCATGAGAGGTATTCCCTCGATCCTAGAATACTTGATCTTGTAGGATTTAAATTTTATTTTAAAATACTTGATCAGTTGACCATCTCACTTTTGAATATATCTTTTTTTTCAATATACTCTTTTCTTTTTCTAACACTAGCTCCCTTCATTTCAAATTATAAGTTGGTATAATTTTTTTTGGTACACAGTATATCTCTATCTTTCTCCTTCTTATTTTTGTGCACCACATTTTCACTCATCTTAATTCCCGCGTCCAGACCTAAAACGTATACTATTTTGGAATGGAGGGAGTATGTTGGGCTAACAAATATTTGCTTTAGCGCAAGTATGCCCCTTGGCACACTGGCCTCCTTCATACCATGTTGGCTTATGCGTGAATTTCAGAATATCTTTGCTTATTTTCTTTGTCTACTTGCATATAGAAAAATGTATTTTGTATATACTATTTTTATGAAAACTTTCAATGATTTTTGTATCCATTGAAGAATTAGGGAAGAGGTAAGATAGTAATACTAGGCAATTGTATTGTAGCGTTATAGATGTGCTTATGTGCTATTTTCATGCCATGTCGGTCTAATATAAGAATGATCCAAAATGTGAATTGTGCCGTGCCTCTTATTATGTCAAGATCTTAGACACAGCACGACCCACGTGGTATTATGTTTTAGACCATGCGAAAGGATCATTTCCACAACTTGCCTTCAAACAGCACGGCCAGATCCAACTCCAATGACAAATACAACTGCATCTAGACTTCTAGAGCCTAAGTAAACTTTGTTAACTTTAGTTCCAAGTCATATATTTTTTAATCTGATTAGGACGCCTCTTTTTGATAAATAATAAAGCTAAAAAAGATCCGGCTTAGAACAAATTAGATTGGCTTTATCTGTGAACGGAAGAAATATTGTACTAGGAAACCTATCCAGTTGTTGAAAAATCATCTCCTTATGACATATGAAATTATATTACTTATATTTACTTTATATAAATAAAAATCATAATATATGTTAGTAGATGATTTAGCACTCGATATATGGACAACTAAATATATGTTAGCGAATGATGTGGTTTATTGATGTGAATAGCTTGAATGAAGACATAATTGTACGTGCTAGTGGATGTTGTGTGGACAGCTTATATGGAGAAATAAAATGTTAATGAGGATTAAGAATATAAAGATATATAGATATAGATATCGATAGATTTAAATATAAATATATCAATAAATACTCTTAAAGGTGGTGCAAAAAAGAAAATAAAATTACTCCTTTAATTTCATTTCAAATTATAAGATGTTTTAACTTTTTAAGTATATTACTTTTATCATATATCTAGGCATAATATATATCTAAGTATATAAAAAACCTACTGTATTATATATCTAGGAAAAGCAAAATGTCTTATAATTTTGAATGAAGGAGTATATAAAATAGATAGAAGAGAAAGATGTTCAGTTCTCATTCCCGCTCTTCTGTTTTTTTTAAGAAATTGAGGTACGGTGATTTACAATAATTTTGTGTAGTCATGGATGACGTTACGTTCCGTCTAGAAGATTGGACAATTGGGAGGGAGGGATGGATAGGCAAGCAGAGGAAGCTGTTACGAACAATCCCGGGACCGGGAGGCTGCTGGAGCCTGGAGGAGGCAAATTTTCAGCAGCCAAGCAAAGCAACCACCACTGACCCCTATATCAACCTCGCATGGCCTCATCTGGCATCAGTCCAACTATTCCAGTCCCCAATTGTCACCCACTGGCCACTGCCTTCTCAAGCTCGTCCGACGTTGATACCATTGGCGGTCGCCATGGCCGTGGCGCCGGACCAGCAGCAGCCACCTGCAGGGGCAGGGGCCTCCTCGACTGGCTCGACATCTCCTCGCCTCCGCGTACACGTACACGACACCACCCTCGTGCCTCCGTCTCCGTCACCGCCGGAGACCTCGCTCCCGCTCACCTTCTTCGACGTCTTCTGGCTGCAGTCCCTGCCCGTCGAGCGCCTCTTTCTCTACCACCTCGGCCCCGACGCTGACGTCGCCGCCATCATCTCCAACCTCCGGGACTCCTTGCACCAAGCCCTCCGCTCCTTCTACCCTCTCGCCGGCCGCGTCCGCCTCACCCCCGGCTCGTCCGACCGCTACGAGCTGCACTACCGCCCGGGAGACGCCGTCACCTTCACCGTCGCCGAGTGCGACGACGAAGACGCGGACGCGCACTTCGACGCCCTCGCCACCGACAAGCCCCGGGAGGTTGCCAAGATCGCCGAGCTCGTGCCGCCGCTGCCGGGAGGCGGCAGGTTGATCGCCGTCCAGGTCACGCTCCTTCCGGCGCGCCGAGGCCTCGCCATCGGCGTCACCGTGCACCACGCCGCCTGCGACGGCTCGGGCTCCACGCACTTCCTGCACACCTGGGCGGCCGCCTGCAGAGGCGGCGGCGCCGAAGCGCCGCTGCCGCCGCCTGTCATCGACCGGACTCTCCTCGCCGACCCAAGGTGCCTGTACGACGTCTTTGTCCAGACGGCGCCGAGCAGTGAAGAGTATCAGTTCGTCAAGATGTCCGCCGACCAGCTCTTCGCCACGTTCACGCTGTCCAAGGACGACCTGAAGCGCGTCAAGGATGCCGTGGCCGACGAGGCTGCGCGGCGCGGCGTCGCGTCGCCCCGGTGCTCCTCTCTCGTTGCCACCTTCGGCCTCGTCTGGTCGTGCTACCAGCGAGCCAAGGAGAGCAGCGGCGGCGGCGGCGCAGGAGAGGGCCTGATGGCCTACATGGCCTTCCCCGTCGACCACCGCTCGCGGATGAATCCTCCCCTGCCTGACAAGTACCTGGGCAACTGCGTCGGCCCAGCGTTCCCGCTGGCACCAAAGGACGAGCTGGCCGCGGCCGGCGCAGGCGGGCTCTTGAGCGCGTGCGCCGCCGTCGCCTCCTCCATCGACGAAGCTGTGCGCGACATCGGGACGTCAAGCATGGATGCGTGGATGGACCGCCTCAGGGAGCTAGTCCCGATGGGTTTACTGACCGTGGCCGGATCGCCGAGGTTCCGCGTCTACGACCTGGACTTCGGATTCGGCCGGCCGGCGAAGGTGGACGTCGTGTCCGTGGCCAGGACGGGCGCAGTGGCGGTGGCGGAGAGCCGGGATGGCGACGGCGGGATAGAGGTGGGTGTCTCTCTGCAGCCGGCTGCCATGGAGAGGTACACGAAGTGCTTCGCGGATGCTATCGCGTGGCTCCACCAGAGGACATGAGAGCGACGACTGGTCTTTTACGGAATCATAGTGTGACGGAAAATTAATTTGTAATTTGTAATAAAATTGCCACTGCAAAATAATTAGTGTTACAAAGTAATTAATACATTGATATTTGTTAATGTGCAAGTGTTGTATAAATGTGTTGGTTTTTAGTGGCCATCCATGAGCACGTGCAAGGACTGACTCCATGCGCACATGCACGACAATTCGCACACCATAACAGTCACAGGGTTGCCAAGACATCGCCGTCTACGGTTCCGGTCCTAAGCATAATTAAAACTTGAGATCTGTTGATATAATAAGCACCCGAAAACCTACTCATTCCAGTTGTGTTGCAAGGACCGATCCTGAGTCAATTCGTAGACTCGTGCTCGTATATAGACTAGAACTAAGTTTGGACATGGATATTATATTATTAGCTAGATGGAATACAACTTATTATTAGCTAGATGGAATACAACTTATTCAACGGAGCAGTACTGGCGTCCGGACGCGCCAGGCGGGACTGTCCATCGCCGCGCAGCGCTCCGCTTCCCACACGCATGCACGACGCTCCAGCAGCTGCAGTAGGTGGTTGTGGTAAGTAAGTCACATTATAACATGTGCAATATCTGATCCACTTTTGAAACATCCGGATGAAATATTTACAACATACGTCTGGACACAGATGAAACACTTGAAACATGCGTCTGAAACATTTGCAAAAACACCTGAAAACACTTGAAAAACCATTGCAAAAACATATGCAACGTTAAGATAAAAATACTTGCAACATATGTGTGAAACATATGCAACATCCAAATAAAACACTTGCAACATACATCTGAAAAAAATAGATGAAACATTTGAAACCGACTCTTGCAACATATGTGTATAGCCATTGCAACACATGCAACATTTAAATCTACTTTTGCAACATTCATATGAAACACTTGTAACATACCTCTGAAACATATGTTTGCAACGTAGGGGGAGAGCCCGGGGCCGGTCAATTCTGGTCGTGAGGGTGGGACCAGCGGCGAGTGGTGGCACGCGAGCACCACCAGCAATGGCCGTGCCCATGGGTGCTCTTGGCTCAGCCGGGGATGACTTGAGGCGCCCCGGCACGTGCACCCAGCCGCCATCGGCAGGGGCAGCGACGGCAGCGGCAGCCCACGGCTGTGAGGCGTCTCCGACGACGCTAGGTTGGGGAAGAGGCCGGGCAGGCGCTGCGCGAACTGAGGGAGGAGAAGGTGTGATCGGCTTGGGTGGAGGAAGGAGGTAGCGGTGGCGGCACGCCTCGGATGATTGTCCATCCCCACTTTAAGAACCTGACAGCAGAAGAAGCCATGCAGGTTTCCTACCTTGTTAAGCTCAACAATCCACTCTGCATCTCTTCTGTTATGCTATGCTAGTCTTATCTAAACTCTTTTCTTGAAACAGTTTTTATCAGATAAAGAGCCTGGTGAAAAGGTGATCCGAGCAAGTTCTAGGGGACCATCATTTTTCACTCTTACCCTAAAAATTGCCGATGATATTTATGCACACAAGGAGATATCTGAAGGTGGAAAGGATCACAAAGATATCATGCTTCCCGTGGGAAAAACACTAACAGTTAACAATGAAACTTTTGAAGACCTCGATGAAGTTGGTGCACCTGATATATACACTCCCCTGTTTTCTCATTTATTTTGTCCGCTTTATTTCGCCGCATTCATTTCTTGCAATAACATCTGCATAAATGGGTCTTCCTCTTACGACCATAATTTTCATATAATATACAGGTTATTGACAGATTTGTGTACCCATTGGTAGGACACCTCAAAAGCATGCTCTCTTACCGTAAATTCAGGATGGGGTTGCGAAATGAGGTTGATGATATTGTTGAGACTGACGGTCTCAGACAGTGTGGAGGAGGTAGAGGCCTCCGCCTCTCAGACGGTGTGGAGGAAGTAGAGGTCTCCGCCTGCTACACCGCTCCTCCCGGCGGAGGCACGGGAAACAGGCGCGATAGATGGGCGAGTAAGGAAATGGCACGCAAAATTAGGGTTTCATTAATTCTTGCACCCACCACCCGCACGGTTACAAGTGTTCCCTATTTATAGGGCTCAACTACTTCCTGACGGAATTTATTACAATGCCCCTTAACTGCTACAGTACATTCCTGGAATATTCCGACGCTGGTCTCTCGTTTGCGGGGCAATCCCGCCACGCCGTCTCCAAGTAACGGGCCTCGGCCGGCCCACCGTACTTCGATCTTCGGCCCAAAGACTCGGGTTCCCGATGCTGGCCTCCGTCTTTGGGGGCGCGCCGTCGCCTTGGCGGGTCTCCGCCGGTCCGGTCGGAGACATCGTCCGTATGTCTCCGCCCGCCGCATGGGCCGTGGTTCCGACGCTTGGCCTTTACGCCATCGGGGCGCGCGTCATTTTGGCGGGTCTCCGCCAGTCCGGTCGGAGACGTCAACCGTGGGTCTCCGCCCGGCCGCGCGGGGGCCATGCTGGCGCACTCACGCGGACCACGAGCGCCTGTGCTTGAGTACCTGCACACACTCAAGCAAGATTGTTTGTTTAATTAGTTCAGAGATAAGGCGGCCTCTGCCCTCATGGTCGGAGGCGCCCATGGGCCGAAGTGGGGCGGCGTCCGCCTAAGCATAGGTCGGAGGTCTCAGCGCACGGCCTGGGTGGAATTCACGACAAGCCTACCGAGCCTCGTGTAGTGCCCTACGAGCATAGCCAGGAAAGTTCCTTTAGTCAGCGCTAGGTCTCCGCCCCAAGACGGTCGAAGACGCCTTAGCGACACCATGCTGTCGGAGGCCTTCATCACCCGCCGAAGCCATGTTACAACAGTTCCCCCCTTTTGAGACCATGGTTCGCCGGAGCGTGCCGTGAGCTCAAAACGCCTTAGCCAAAGGCGTCCGCGGGGCGAAGGCCATATTCATCGACGTCTTCGAGCGAGGCCCCGCTACTTCCCCCCTGGCCCGCTCTGGCGTGGCCGCTGGTCTCATTGATAGTAGCCATTGGGAAGCAAATCTAGCCGTTGTCCTATGGCGCGGCCATTTATGCCGTGTCAGTTTCCATTGCATACCTTGCGACTTTTTCGGAGATGACAGTTATGCGGCAGGCGAATTTTCCGGAGGTGACCATTGTGTGGCGGGAGCCGGACCGCCTGCCCGCTACCTATATAAGGGTGTTGTTGGTGGCGGGGTCCCCCCTCCCCGCATTGCTGATTCTCTTTCATCGCATTTGAGACATCGCTCTCTGCTCTCTTTGCTTTCACCTTTCGCTGCCCTCGCGCGTTCCGTCTGTCTGCTTGCGTCTCGCGCTTAGGCTGTTGTCGCGGTGGCTTTTCTTTCCGCCTCCGCCCAAACTCGCTGACCCGCCTTTTTCAGACCCTACCACCACCTCCTCGGCGTTAGGGACGTCGGTTGGGGTGCACGCTTTGAGGAGTGCATGCTTGCCTCTGCCTCCGCGTTGGAGTTTGAAAAGCTGGTGGAGGAGGATTTGGGGAGTGTCTCTACGTCTGTCGGAGACCTGATCGCCATGGATTCTAGAGTCATGGCGATAAAGTCATGGGATTTCGGCCCCTCCTCCGTTACTAAGGAGGCGGTCGCGGAGATGTTGAAGGAATCGTATTTTCCTTCTACGAGGGTAAAAATCCCTCCGCTCGGCCAGACCGTTCCGGAGCCGGAGGAAGGATATGCAGTGGTGTTCCGGGACTTCTTCACCTACGGCCTCCGCCTTCCTTACGTCCCCTTCCTCCGCCGGGTATTGGAGACTTTCAACATCCAGCTCCATCATCTGACTCCTACGGCCTTCCTCACGCTCAGCAAATTCTACTAGGCGTGTCTCTCTTATGGCGCCGAGCCGGATGTGGACACCTTCTGTGCTTATTATGAGCTACAGAAGCAGCCAAAGAAGAAGAAGGAGATGCAGGAAGGCAAAGAGGTGGAGGTGATCTACCAGTATGGTAGTTGCACCTTCATGTCGAAGAGGAACCAAGGCGTAGATCGCCTAGAGATTTCATTCTACCAGAAAGGAAATTGGGACCGCGGCTGGCTTGAGCAGTGGTTCTACGTGAAGACCTACGGGGTCTGTGGCACCACCGAGGATGGTGTGGAGGTTCGGGAATATCCATTGACCTCAAGGATGGAGGTGATGGCGCCGCATACGCGCGTGGATCCGTCGGAGGCGGTGTCTCCGACGAGGGAAGCCTGTGAACGGGCCTTTGCGTTGGAGTGCCGTTACTCCGGGGGCTGCGATCTGGTGGAGGAGATAATGGCCTCCAACTATTGGCCCCTGAGCAAAGACAATCCACCCTTTCAGCTAGAAACGGTGCCAGTTCCCGTTTTTGTGCCGAAGGCTGGGATTCCGTTCCCTCGCTTTGGCCAGTCTTTGGGGGAGGGGGTGACGGAGGACAGCTTTGTCTCTGAGGTTGAAGAAGCCACCATCGGGTTGGTCGGCAAAATTTCCGAGCGTGAGTACACGTCTCAGAGAGCCATGGCAGGCACCATGCCGCGGCTCAATCGAGTTTTCGAGGAGCTCGGGATCATCTATCGAGAGCGTGAGGTTCCTGTGGAGGTCCTGGCTTCACTTGACAAGAAGAAGAAGACCTCCGCGAAGAACGTTACGGCAGAGGCCAAGTCCAAGAAGAGGAAGGGCGCCGCTGTTGCATGGGTGCCTCCGAAAAAGAAGAAGAAGGTCGACACTTTAGTGATTGCGCCGGCCGCGTCTTCGTCCGGTAGTGCGGGCGTTGCCTCCGTCGGCAGTGAAGACGGCCAGAGCTCTTCCGTCCCATCAAGGGACGTGCGGGTCGCGGGCGGCGGAGATAGTGGCTCTCCTGGTGCTTCGGTGCGTCCTTGGCGCGGTGCTGTGAGCGGTGCGGGGCGGCTAGAGGCCAGCGATGCTCCGGCACGATCCTTGCATGGTGTCACGAGTGGCGCCGAACAGCCGGAGGCCAGCGCCGTGAATCCTATGCCCGACATATTTGGCGGGATGTCCTCAAGTTTTGAAGAGGACACG